AGAGGACCCTAATATAATCCTTGCTATTCCTTATAGTCACTATTACTGGGTGGGGGGTCCACCTAACATAGAACCTTTGGGAGCGTTAAGCGAGTGCAAAGGAAATTGGAACTCTATAGGCTCTACTTTCCGAGGTCCGGGGAACTAAGTGCGTATACTTATCCCAAACCCGAAAAGTATGTAAAACAATAGCCCTGAACCCCTGATAACAGCCATTAAGGCCACTATTCTACATACTTTTGGGGTGCGAAAGTCCACAGAGCATATATGGCCACTATGTTTTGGGGTCCTGATGACCCCAAAGGCCAACTAATAATCCGCGCTATCCTCTTTTTTCCCCTGACCGTCCTGGGCCCAAACTTGGCTAAACCTGGCTCCTCATTGAAACACTCATGCGAAACTTGGGTCTGCATAGATTACGGCTTCCTTGATGGGGTTCCCTAAAATGTAGATTATAGTATGTTGGGGTCTATATTTGGGTGCCCCATTTATCAAAACTACCCAGATTGCTTTTTCTTCCATATTGGGCTGTACCTCTAATGGCATAAGGAAAGCCCACAACCCTAAACCCAGTTCTCCAGGTGTCGGATGGCATGAGCCGCTAGAAGGACCTGTGTACCTGCTTAATTACCGGGGCTTTCGCACACAACGCGTTGATTATCGGATCCTGTGCCTACTTAGTGGTCCTAGTAAAGTGGTCTCCCTTATAAACCCAAGGTATGCCATAGTCTACGTAATAAACGATTCTCAAGACCAGGTGATCTCTAATCTGTTGAACCCTTCACTCAGGTATCGTCCTATGCTTTCTTAAAAGGCGGGGGCTGGAGCATTCTCCGAATGGACCTGGCTCCCTGAACCCTGAGCTTGCACTTTCTTTTTCCCTCCCGCACTGCCATGCACTGCAGGAGAAGAACCTTGGTGCACAAGTACGGTCTGGGGCTTAGGGTTTAGATCTACAGTCCATCTACAGACAATCTAACTCTAACGAGGTGACAGTAGGGGGGTATACAGGGAGTACCGGACTTTTTGGGGAACTCCCGGGATGAGTTCCATGCAGCCATGAAGCATAGGATCAGACTGCCATGGCCCACGTACAATCGCCCGGGCCCCCACATATGCCTGCTTGGATACGATACTCCCCACGTGGTCTTTATATGATATACTATACCCCAAAGAAGCATATCATCTTCATTACGTACTCTATGTCAGGTACCATAGTATCCCCAAATAAAAAACTACCCACGTCACGGACAGGTAGCCACAAGGTTTGGCAAACTCAGCTCTGGCTTACTCCTCGAGCACTAGCGAGCCTGCCCATGCGTCTTGGAGTCTCGACAAGCCGGGCTTTCAAATCAGGCCATGCTGTAGATGAGGGCATGGATTGTCCATGAGTTCACCTCTTGTGGAGCAATATGATGAGGAAGATCTGGGGATACAGACCCTCTGACGCTAACATCTACTTTCAAAGAAGCAGACAAAGGGTTCTTGCAAGGGGTCCCCTTTCAAGGGTATTCCTGATCATATTGGTGACATCTGCGAGATCATTGCACGCAGCGAGGAGGATACTGCTGTCATCTTTTGGGCCTGACATGGGTGCAATATAGGTGCTAGATAGGGATAGTGGAAAACAAATTGGAAACTGCTATATTAATAGGGAGGGGGTATCAGGGGTTTAGGGTTTGTGGAGATTGCATATCTTGCTTTTTTTGGGGCCTCTACCACTTCTCTTTGTTCTGGGCTTGAGGGTTCAGGGTTTATGGTTATTACATGCTACCCCCAGAATGGACAATCAAATGGACATTGGAAAGTAACATAGAAACCCCTAAACCCTAAACCCTAAACCCTAATCGACCCTAAGGGCTTTAGGGGTTTAGGGCTGACTGTGCCATGATACAGTGGATGTAGAAAATCTGGCATTACGCAACACTTGGAAGGTCTTGTGGTGAAAAAATAAATGGGGGTTTCCCAAAATTAGAGTACCTTTAAAGTGGTTTATAGGGGTTATATAGGGTCATATAGGGCTGTATAGGGTTTAGGATTAGGGTTTAGGGTTTCCCAAAATTAGGGGTACCTTCTTGGGGGTCCCAATATTAAGGAGTATAGTATTTTGGGGTCTATATTGGGGTCCCCTAATTTTGGGAAACTACCAATAGGTTCAAGGTGCTCTAGGATTATGTAAGGATATGTAGGAAATATAGAGAACCCATTATGAGCTAAGGCCCAACTAATGGTAACCAGTAGGGATGAGGGCAATTCTATCGGAGCTTCTCGACGTAGAGGGCCCACAAGAGGGATTAAAGGGGGATTATGAAGGCCGTTCGTTTTGAGAATGCCCACCTTTTTGGCTCTGTATTGCTACATGACTACTCCTGCATGACGGCCTGCACTGGTTTAGGGTTTAGGGTTTAGGGTTTAGGGTTTGGGGTTTCGGGTTTAGGGCCTACACTAAGGTTGACATACGATGCCCCAAACTCATGACCGCGGTTCCTCCTCGAGCATGCGCAGTTTTCCCGATGACTCTTCGAGTCTTCAAACAAGGAGCCGCTGTGAATGGCACATATTTTGCACCACTTTCTGTGCCCAAAGACTTCAAAACTGCTCTTTGTAGTTTCCCTAAATAGACCCCCAAATACTATAGTTCCTGTTATTGGGACATCCAAAAAGGGACCCTCAAGTTTACGTAACCCCCCATTTCTTTGGGATCCGAACTGGTGCAAGAGTTCCATCCACTGTATCAGCTAAGGCTTCCAAAGACTTGGAACAAGAAGCTATCAACTGGCGCTCGGCAGTGGATGAGGGTGTGGATTGTCCAGGATCTCACCCAACCGAGTAGAAACATGAGCCACAGTAAAAACTCCCAGCATCCCCCTTAATAACCCCTGTAGTAGTCCCCTATGATAATCCCCTATAGAACGTCCTTTAAGGAGTCTAACCCCCCATATAACCCCCTTTAAGGAGTTTTCACTATGGCTCACATGCATTCACAAGGAAGATCTAAACAAAAAGCTAGCAAAGAAAAGCGCAATGCAAGCTGCAAGTAATCATGCGAATATGTTTACTACCCCAACCCCCAAAGAAACCTCAACCCCTAAACCCTCAACCCTACACCCTAAACCCTAAACTCTAAACCCTAAACTCTCCTTTAAAACCATAACGCTCTGGTAGGGGCCTAGGGGGGATCCTTGGGGTCGCCCGGGGACCGCTTTTGAAGGCTGCAGAATGTCACGTGTGGGGCGCGGTGCTTTAGGGTTTAGGGTGGATTTAGGGTTTAGGGTTTAGGGTTTAGGGGTTTAGGGTTTAGGGTTCGGACTTACATAGGGTTGCTGCCCCAGAAATGCTTCAAAATTCTGACGGTGCCAGATGCAGCCTGCAATGAACTCAGGAACCAGCATCTCGGTTGGAGGCTTCCACAACTTTTGGATCTCATCTTGAGATGTCAATTTGGGGTCTATGTAAGCTATTTGCGGTACCCGCCGCCATCAAGAGCGATACAACAAAATTGGGCCCAGAATGTTCTGAACTAATTGGTCTTCTGTTTAAGGAGATCCTGAATTGTGGGAAGCAACCATATCAGAACGCATTCAAGCCCAGCAAGTGCCGTCATGCTCTCAACTTGATGCGGGAGTTTAGGGTTCACGGTCTGGGGTCTTTTTTAATGAAGATACAGGATTTAGTGTTTAGGGTTTACGGGTTTAGGATTTAGAGTTTAGGACTGGGACCTAACGGGGGGTCCTTACTAACGAGTAGATAAGGAGTCTTTTGAGAAACTCCGACTTTGAAGAACTTGGCAGCGTGGGGCAAAACCTGACGGGCAGTGTCCGTGTACTTGACACGGTGTCAGGGCTGTTGGACATGGACAACTTCTGAACATGCGGCCCCTTGCATACCCCTGAGAATACCATGGCCCTTCCTATAACAAGGATGCGCAAAAATGAGTCATAACTTTCAGAAATCACCATGCCAGTGTAATCAACAAAAATTGTGCCGAAGCATCGAGGCGCTGAGAGGAAAAAATGGACTCCCACTCACTTGCTCCCAGCACATTGTGGATGGATATCAGGCTCAGTAGTACAGGGCCAGTTTAATCTTAACGAGGTTTTGGATTATAGTATACGGTCGTCAGATTGGTTTACAAGGGCATGATACCGGCAACTGCATCTTAGGCTTCTACACTATCAAGCCTTAAACCCTAAGCCCTAAACCCTTTTCCCTAAACCCCAAACCCTAAACCCCAAAGCCTAAACCCTAGGCCCTTAGTTATACTTTCTTAGGTATTGGGATGCGTGTTCCGGCTCGGGGTAGCAGAATCCTCATCTCCTTCTCATCGGAGGACACCAATTCTGTGGCCAATTTAACCACTCTCCTACGGCTTAGCGTTTAGGGATAACATGTGTTTAGGGTTTAGGGTTTAGGGTTTAGGGATAACATGGGTTTAGGGTTTAGGGGTTTAGGAATAACATGGATCCATATAAACGACACCATCCTTTTCAAATCCACCCATGAACTCTGAAACACGGACATATCTCTCCACCTTAACGCTCGGGAGCCAGTCATACTGTTGCTTTGCGCCGAAGCTTTGCCCTCAGACTGCCATCGTCTCTGTTGGAGGATACTTCTGCTTGTCAGAGTCGGTAGGATCCTTCCAGAAAGCGCAATGGTTTAGGGTTTAGGGTTGGTATCCTTCCAGAAAGCCCAACACCCAATAATGAAGGAGTGGAAAAGAAAGGGGCGCTACTATGGGGTTTAACCCTAACAAACCCAAATCACTGATATAAGGACTCGCACAAATGGGGCTCCGAATTTTTTGGAAGCCCCTAAACCCTAAACCCTAAATCCTAAATCGCAACCCCTAAACCCTAAATCCTAAACCCTAAACCGTAAACCCCAAACCCTAGACCCTAAATCCTAAACCCCAAACCCTAAATCCCAAATCCTAAACCCATCTAAACCCTAAACCCTCAACCATTAGGACTCCTTCTGCTTGTCAGGGATGGCTTCCGCGGCTTCCGCGGCTTCCGTTTCCCGCCGGGTTGAATCCTCGTACTGGGCGGGGTGCTCCGGCACAGGGTCGTTCGGTGTGAAGGCCGGTGTCAACACGAAGATGAAGGGTATCCTGGGTTAGGGTTTAGGGTTTAGGGTTATATATAGGGTATATAAGGTCTATAATAGGGTATATAGGGTTTGGGGATGAGGAACTTAAATTAAGCTACCATAATGGGTATCTATAGTAAATAAAAAAGGTTTCCCCAATTTAGGAACTTAAATTAAGTTCCTTAACAGCAACCCAGTATCGGAAGAAGTGCCATGCAGGCCTTGGCCAGGGAGGCGTAGGGCAAGTTGTCGAAATTGTCTCCGACAAGTCCCCACATCTCACAGATGGTCACGCCCAAGAACCCACTGACGGCCACGCCGAAATTTCCCAGAGACAGCAAGGTTGCACATAAGGTCGCCTCGTAAAGAAACTTCTTGAAAAGAATCCTAGTATCCTCAATTGGGGTTATAGGGCCCCGAATAGTCGGTATTGCTGCTCAGGAACTTCATTCAAGCCACTATATCGGGGAAACTTGGTTATTTACTATACTTACAAACTATGGTAACATAATCTAACTTCCTTAACAGCAACCCAATAATAGTCCTAAACCCTAAGCCCCTAGCCAAAAGCGGTCGCCTCGAGGTTAGGGCTACAACCCTAAGCCCTACACCCAATGGTGGGTATTCAAGCCCCCAAAAAAAAGGTCCTAAACCCTAAACCCTACACCCTAAACCCTAGACCCAATAGTGGGTATTCAAGCCCCAAAAGAAGGTCGCCTCCAGGTTAGGAGGGCAAACCTTGGCGGCCAGCACGCACATGGGGACGAAGAAAAATCTGGAGACCATCAGATCGAAGGCATCCTGAGTGGCTGTTTAGCAGGGGTTTTAGGGTTTAGGGTTCAGGGTTTAGGGTTTAGGGTTTGGGGTTTTAGGGTTATAGGGTTTTAGGGTTTAGGGTTTAGGGTTCAGGGTTTTGAGGTTGCTGCTCAGGAATTGAAGTGTTGAGTTATCATCTTAATGCGGTTTAGGGTTTAGGGTTTAGGGTATATATAGGGCTTAGTGTCTAGGAACTTAAATTCAGCTCCCATCTTATGGGTATATATAGGGTTTACAGAGTAGATAGGGTTTAGGGGTAAGCGGATTAGGAACTTAAGTTAAGTTACCATCTTGTGGGTATATATAGTAAACAGTAAGATCTCCCTAACATAGTAACTAGAATTAAGTTCCTTATCAGCAACCCAGCATCGTCACCAACCAGGAACAGAAAGTCAGGGATGCCGATGACCAGGTTCCACCGCATCACGAGGACGACCTCCAACAACTGCGTGAAGAAGTATGCCAGCTGGGCGGTAACAAAGATCCTACGGAAGGACCAGTTCGTCATGTACCTAAGCCGCTCAGTAACCGCTGGGAAACAGCATATCCGTTTCTGGGTTGCTTGTAACGCAATAGAAACCCAAAGCCAAAAAGAGCTTTAAACAGCGTACCTCAGGTCAATCCGCCTTGCATTGGCCGCTATCACAACGGACTCTTCCCCTACACATGGTAATGCCCAAATGAGCAAAAATCTAAACTCCTTAAAAGGGGTTATATAGGGGATTATATAGGACTCTACTATAGGGCTTACTAAGGGGAGTCCTAGGAGCTTGGATTTTTGCCCAAATAAACCCTGAGCCCCTCTGCGAACCGATGACAAGCCTGGGTACTTGTTGTAGATGCAAATCCCGCACCTGGTTCATGGTTTGAGTACGATAGGGTTTAGGGTTTAGGCATTAGGGATACTACCTGCATGAACCTAAGTACTCTAAACCTTGATCAAGGTATACTACGGTCCTGCAGAGCTGTTGGTATCAACACAATCGCTCTTCATACACAAGCACAATTTCGGGTTGACCCTCAACCGCGAACCCAAAGCGCACTCTACCTATGTATTTTGAAGCGTGAACTTAAGCCAGAGGCAATCTTTCGACCCTAAATCGTAAAACTTGCGGTTTTGGGCTTTGAGATTTGACACCCAAGCCCCTCAGGCCTCTGGGAGGAGGTCTTTGAAAGGATTTGGGCTTTAGGGTCTAGGGTTCACACGGTTTAAGGGTTAAGGGTTTTGGGTTTAGGGTCTAGGGTTTAGGGTTTAGGGTTGTAGGGTTTAGGGTTTTTTAATAGGGTTTACGGTTTAGGGTTTAGGGTTTACAATATAGACCTCAATATGCTGTAATCCTTATTCTAGGAACCCCAAAAAGTACCGCGAGGGTTTAGGCGAGTTTTTTCAGTGGCTGAACCGAGTAAATGATTTTCTTCTTTTGGCGTACTATACCAAGAAGGAAGATATAATCTTACTCTATGTTGGGTGAATGCAGTATCCCCAAGTAAAACACTACCAACCTGGCGCTTGTGAAGAGGCCTTTAAAGGCTTCTCGGCATGCGTGTGCGGGATATGGATATGTAACTTACTGGGAGGTTCTGTGAAATTATAGTCCACTGCTACCAACTGTGGTACCAGCTAGAAGTGGGTCCCTGAACCTCCAAGTAATGAACATACCAGTACAGAAGCGGTCAAAATAGAATGTGACAGCGCACCCATCTGTAACCAGCAAAAGACAGGGGCGATGTAAATCGAAAATGAAAATGGTATTCTGGGAGGGTGGGGCGATGCTAGACAAATCGTGGTGTACACGGCCTTGCCGACCATCGGCCCTAGCCCATCGTAAACCCTAACTTCAACACCTTATGCCTTTAACCCAAAGCATACACCCGTAAACCTAAATCCTAGACCTCAACCCTAGACCCCAAACCCCCAAACCCAAAAACAACAAACCCACAAACAGCGAACCACAAAAAAAAAACAGAAAAATCAATCCTAAACCAGAAAATGCTATAGTAGGTTCCATTTTCCATTATTGCTACATAACCCCAAACCCTAAGCCCTAAACCATAAATCCTAAACCCTAAACCCTAAATCACAACCCCTAAATCCCCATAACCCAGGCACAGGAGTCCCAAAGAGCCGAAGCAGTCCACGAAGCCCAGCTTAGCAGCGCCGAGTTGGGGGCCTGCAGGGTTTATGCTGTAGGGGTTGGAATTTAAGGGGTTTTGAGGGGTTTGGGGTTTGGGGTTTAGGGTTTGGGGGTTGGATTTTAGAGGTGTAGGGGTTTAGGCTGTAAGGTTTACGGTTGAGGGGTTGGATCTTAAGGGTTTAAGGGTGTAGGCTGTAAGGTTTAGGGTTGAGAGTTTGGATTTTAAGGGTGTAGGCTTTAGGCTGCAGGGTTTCGGGGGTTGAGGGGTTGGATTCTAAGGGTGTAGGCTTTAGGCTGTAGGGTTTCGGGGGTTGGATTCTAAGGGTTTAGGGTTTATGGTTTAGCGTCTAGGGGTTGGAATTTAAGGGATTTGGTTTGTTGTTGGAACTTAGAGTAAGTTCCCTTTACGGGGGTTGTGGGGGGATATGAGGCTTATGTGTTATAAATGGGCTGCTTTTCTGGAACCTACATGCCCAGACGTTTAGAGCTCGGTGTTTAGGCTGAGGAAACAACGCTGTTTCATAGAGGGCTTGCGGATTGTGAACACAAAAAGACACCGAAACTGATTCTACATTGGGGCTGCATAGGGTGTTAAAGCACACAAACCAAGTTCCTACTACAACTAACCCAAATTCCTTGCTATATATCCGGATTAGGGCCACCTCTCCCCCAAACTTAAATAGTAAATCTCAAGTCCTAAACCCTAAGCTAAACAAAAAAAATCCCAAACCTATCAGAACTCGAACTGCTAAACCCAAAATCCTAAGCCCCAAGCCTTGAACCCTATGTCCTAGGCCCTAAACCGCACTAAATCCGAAGCCCTACACCTTCACCCTCAAACCCTATACTCAAGTTTGATGTGGTAGCTTAAACTTAAAGTCCTTAACAGCAAATGAGACATAGTCTAAACTCCCAGTGTCCCCCTTTATAACCCCCAAATAGTGGTCCCCTAATAATCCCCCATATAACCCCATTCAAGGAGTTTAGACCCTGAACCCTCAACCCTATGTTGCATAACCGCCATAGTAGTCCCCTATACACCCCCCCCCCTCAACGAGTTTACACCCTAAACCCTAAACTCTATACCCTAAACCCTAGACAAGCCCTACATAAGCTAGTAGCCCCGTAATGATAAGGGTACCCTTTTTCCTACTATTCAGCTTTAATAAGGAGACCCCACAAATAAAAAAGGGCAAAAGGGTACTACTGGGGTACCCCCCTAAAC